TACTGGAATGGAGGAAAGGGCATCAATGATGCACAGATTTTTTTTATACATATAATTAAAGACAACATAAAAATTATTTAATTAATATTAATAATATTTTATATGATCTGCAGGTCAGATGTAAATATCATGGTGGGATAAATTTGGCTTATAGACCAGAGTTTGCCAACTCTGTATTAAGCCAGCAGTTATTTGAAAAATATACTCGACACAGATTTATAAAACAAATTTTTATAAAGAAAAAAAGTCTTGTGATAAACAAAAATATAAGAAACATCTTATTTTTTTACATGAGACAAAAAAGAAAAGAAAGAACAATATTGAAAAATAAAAATTTATTTTCAGAAAAAATAGTTATTCAAACAAATAGATAGTTTTTATGCTTTCAGATGAAATGTCCTTATAATAGGGAATTGTTGAAAGTGATCTTTAGAATTTTTAAACTTCTCCTTTACCCACTTTTTGGTATAAGATATAATTATTATTAAGAAACAGACAACTTTAATGTTACCTGATTATAATTTATTTCCTTAGGATTGAGATTAGACCCTAATTCCTCAGATCGACCATTTTCATACAAATAAATGGGTTTGTATGGAAATGGTTGATCTGAGGAATTAGGATCTAATCTCGGTTCTAAGGAAATAGATTATCATGTAACCTTAAAGTTGTCTGTTTCTTAATAATAATTAATGTTTGCTATGTTCTTACATTGAGCTCTCTGAATTACATACTCCTTGGAGTTATCCATATGGATTTTTATATAAAAGATGACATTAGTGTGAAACTCTTGTAGCAGTCATAACCTTGTCTCTTTTTGTGTGGTCTTGCTGGGTAGCGTATTTGTTACGTCGTGATCATTTAAACATATAGCATGGCCTTTTACTGTTTATGTAGATGCTTGCCCTTGATATTTTTCTTCTCTTTCCTTTTCTTTTGGTTTTTGATTTCCTTTGGTCAATTGGAAGGCATTGTGTTGGTTTCACCAATACTTTGATTTGTTGTGGATGTGTGTGTATATTATATAAACATACTTACATATATACATACAAGGTGTCTCCCAAAAATGTACTCACTTTTTCACTTCCTATAAACTTCTTGAATGTTTTTTTTTTACAGATCCAGTGAATTTAACTTCATTTAATATTTAATTCAAACTGTTAATCTTCATTGTATGTCAATAAACATTAACATCTTTTTACCATTAATCTTGTTTACAAGTCAATAAACGCTACATTTTTGTCATTAAAGAGTGAGTACATTTTGCGGGGACACCCTGTATATATATTATAGCCAAAAAATGCATGTATTACATTGACTATGTACAAAGCTCATCTAAACAATAGTGTCTCTGGTCATATATTGTGGTGACAGTTTCTTTGAGATTTAGATCTTTTAGGAATGTGGCATATTTGGGATGGTTCATCTGAAATTAAGTTATATTTATGCTCCAAACTAACTAATGTGTAACAGAGCTTAAATCACTTTTTTAAAAAAATTATTCTCATAGATATTAAACACATTTTAGTCTGTTTCTTGGTTGCCAATGTCAAAGACAGATATCAAGGTAGTTTCAACTATAATGTCAGCTTCAATCTTTTGTCATCCACAGTCATCATTCTTATTTGATATAAGCTAGGTAAAATGTTGAACAAATGTTAAATTTAGCTGCTACAAATTCTAAAATGTCAGTGTGTATTATACACAATTTTTTCTTTTAGCAGTGCATATTATACAGAATAATATTTTTGACAGTGTGTATTATACACAATATTTTTTTTAAAAAGAGTGTGTATAATACACAAAAAAAATTTAACAGTGCATATTATACACAAGATTTTCTTTTTATAGCCCAAAGTTAGAAGTGTATATGAATTATTCATTATATCATATCCAAGTATTTTACAAAAAAATTAGAGCTGATTACACAATATTTCAAACTCAATTTAGGTTTATATTTCATAACCATGCAATGAGATGAGATGAGGTAACATAAACCATAGATTTGTCTGCAGAATATCATTACATTATTGTTGCATAATTATAGTGAAGTCATTAAGGTTTCTTTTGTCAAAAGCATTTTATTTTTGGCTGTATATTAATTTAAAATATTCCTTTTTTCAGGTTTTATTTTTGAAATGGAATACGATCATTCTAAATTTCAGAATTTCACTATTGCCTTTCAAAATGACTGAAAGAAAGCGATCTAAAAACAACAATGGAAAAGAGAGGTAACAAAGTGTAAACAAAATAGCTCCAATTTGTTCAACTTAAGAAACTTAGCATTGCAGCCAAAGTATTCTAAAATGCTGCCAATAACAAAAGAGAAAATAAAAAATACCTAACAACAAATCAAATATAGCATCAAAATTTATATTATTTTTATTTATTTGTTATGTAACTAAATACATAATTGTCAATAATGTTTTCATAAAATTTGATATTTCCTGTAATGAATTCTTAATAAATATTATTATTGTTATTGTTTTTTAGTTAAAGGTAGTCCTACATTTACAATTCCTTACAGTTAACCATCAAAAGAAATGCTGATAAAAACTGCCTAAAAACATGTATCGCCATAAAATTATCAAATGTTGAATATGTCCCTCTGCTGTCGAACGCATATATCACGTGTGTAAATTTGTATTTAAATTATATTTACATGTTTGTATTTTGATGTATTTTAATTTAGTGCTTAAATGTTATTTTTAATGGATACCCATATTTGAGTAGATACTCTGTTTATATTTATTTATATCAACCAGTCTGAATATTCGAGAAATCTTATTAGAAAAATATGTTGAAGAGCGCATCTGTTGCTTGAAATGCTTCAACAGGCTTTAGGTAAACATCCTTTAAATTGAACACAGGTTTTGGTGGTATGCACATTTCAAGGCTTGGAACAAGATGAGCATTCAGGGTGACCAATCTATAACAAAAGGTCAGAAAATGTGTAAAGAATTTGTCACCACATCAATAGACTGTCATCAAACAATCCATTTCATGAAATGCATAGACACACTTAGGATGTGAGTAGCATATCGGTGGTGAAATGAGTTCAAATTCCCACCTAGCTTGTTGTGTTCCCTTTCGTATAATACCCTGGGGAAAAGTATGAATCCATCTCTTCAACTATGGGTTAAATAGTAGAGTAGACTGGATACTCTAGCCTTGAATTGCAACCTGTCTAAGATAAGGAACATTCTGTATTTTAAACCATGGAGAATCAAATGAAAACCACTTCACTATTTTTTCTAAGATTTTTCTAATAACATTTCATAGATAATAAATAAGAGGAATCTGTGGAGAGCAATGTTCTGGAGAGACGTTATTAAAAGAGAAGAAAATAGGTACTAATGTAAATTGAATCACTACAAATATAGAAAAATAGTCATCCTTTGAAAAGTTATCTTTTAATAAAACAAAGACAATAAATGGTTCGTTTACATTATCATTGTTATCACTACTACTCCTAATTCAGCTTATTGCTAGATCATGTTGAAACATTAGTTCCTGTATGATCGCAAAAGTTAAGTAATATTGAGCCTAGTCAGTATCTAGATGGGTGACCACTTGGGAATCTCAGGCGCTTGGATGGATAATGGCTCAGAATTGTTAATTGGAAAACTGAGCTTCAATTCCAGTTGGAATTATTATATTCACTTAGTGCAACTACCTCCAGCTATGGGTTAATTAGTAAAACTTGTATCACTAAACCATTACTATCTCCCCTAAAAAAATTCTTATAATCTAAAAATATTTTCTGGCTTTAAATAACCTGCAAAGTGTTGATAAGCTGTAGAAAATGAACCAAACAATACTCCTGCTACAGAGAAATGTTTACTTTTTCTTCTTTTTTTAAATAATAAAAAAGAAAAAATCTATTATAAAATTTTAATAAAAACAGCAATATAGGAAACCAAAAATCAATATCCTTTATAAGCTAAGCTTAATAAACGTCAGAAAATAAAAAAGTCAAACAACAATGTGAACATGACTACAGTCTCTGAAACTTTTCTCTCTTTACGTAAATGACAACTCTTCCTCCTTTTTAGTATGTCAAAAAAGACAAAATTGTGAGATAACAGGGAAGTGGATGCGATAAGAATCTGAATTCCTCTTAATGGAATTCAAGAACAATTCTGCCAGGTCAAGATACAGTAAATACAGATGAGATTGTAAATTATATAATGTGTGAATGCAGCAAATTACTGAAGGATTAGAAAAGTAAACATGAGTGGGTAGGAAGGGTGATCCATTGGGATTGTGCAGCTGACTTGGATGTAACCATGCAAACTAATTTCTACATGGACAAACCAGAAGATGTTCTTGAGAAAAAAAAATAAAATAAAATTCTATTTGACTTGAAAATTCAAACATTTTCCAATCCAGGCCATGGGAACAGGTTTGATCCTCATAGGCAAGAACAGCAGGCAAAAAAGTAAAATTAAAAAGAAAATATAAAGCTGAAAGAATGGAAAATAATTCCAGGTAAATGAAAATAATTGTAGAATATAAAGATGACAGTTATACCCATCATCATTGGTGCACTTGTAAGTTTCAAAATTCCATGCAAAGGAGTTTGGAGAACTGGAACCATGAACAAGAATTGAAACCATCCTGCTGACATTATTACTAAAATCAGTTAGAATAGTGAGAACAGTAGTAGAGTAGAAAGGAAACTTGCTGTCACTTGATCTTCAGTAAAAGCCAAGGTTTAAGAACTGAATGAATACAATTAATAATAATAATAGATTTTAAAACTGTTTTTATATGATACCTTTTTGTTCCTTATTTCATTTTTTTCTTTTTTTTTTTTGAAAATCTCTGATTTTCTAAAGCAATGACAATAAAGCATGTTTGAGATTTTATCAGCTATTTCATTCCAAGTCGACATCAGTTCAATTTATCCAAGAGGTGGAAAGTAAAACTTGGTTTCCTTTTGTTCATCTTCATTTCATATATGAACATTTTAAAAAGTCCTTGGGTACTTTTTCATGTCAGTCATCTTCATCAGTATCTGCAGCAAGCACAACTGGTGCGGCTTTCTGACTGGCTTCAGAGGCTTGGGAATTTCCAAAGAAAAGAGATTTAAACTGTGAATAAAACAAATTATACATTAATTAAAACACCTATTTACAAGTGTGAATAGGTAAATCACCTGACAGTTATTAAGTGAATTTAGATTTCAGATTTTAATTGTGTAATATTTCATCAATGTAATTAATAAAAAGATGTTGATTTAATCTCCTTCTTTGTCAGTGGACTTTTTTTCCTTCAATAGGATATGAACTTATTGATGTATGTACATGTGTAGATGTTTATTTTTATTATTTATTCAAAACCAACCATTGCCCCCACTGGGGGGAAATACATCTTATGTAAAAATATTCCCCCAGTGTGAGTAGTGTTTGGTTTTGAACTCTTTAAAAACTTTTTATTTCAATTGCAACACTATCACTTTGACAAGACACAGAAGTGTTGAAACAAAATGGCTATTTTTGTAGTGATGTTATAACATACTTATGTTATTATATATATATATATATATATATATATATATATATATATATATATATTTTAAAATAAAGAGAAAGAACAGTAAGATAGTTATTCTTTACTGACATTGTCAAAGATTTTCCTTAAATAATATTTAAAAAAAAAAGAGCTGAAAAATGAAATATACATATTTATATTTGATATTTTAATAATAATTTTTAAATAATAAAATAATATAATAATACATTTATTTGTTTTAAAAAGAAGTATAGTCTATTAGAAATTAGAATTAGGGATAATATTTTAAAATTGTATTTTAATACGACGTACTCAATATTCAGACAATCCTTTTTGGAAAAAATCTTTATGTATACAATCACAAATTTAACGGCAAAACAAAAGTGCCGAAAAACTTTTTTTCATAGAAAAAAAAAAGACGATATGCGAAAAATGGATGTCATCATTTGTTGAACAGGCACCCCTACCCTACCTTAACTTAACCTAACCTCATTTTGAAAGTAACTCATATTTTGATATAATAGTTGTCAGTGAAAATGAATACCCTACCACCCCTTGTCAAAATGACTGAATTTCCCTGTATCCTTAGCAACTAATATTAAGAATGTATGTGCTTATAAAACTCAGTAAATTTCAAAATAAGTTATTCCAAAATTCGCTTGAAAATGAAACAGTACTAGAGGTTTTAATTTAATTCTATAGTTTCTTATTTGAAACATGGTAATTTCTGTGTAGCAACAGAACCATATTTTTAAACTAGTAATATTTATATATATATATATATATATATATATATATATATATATATATATATATATATATGTGACTATTTTGAAAAGTATTTTGATATGTTTTGTCAATGAAGCCACCAAATATGTCAAAATAGAAGTTTTATAAATTGTCTTATATATTTACAATTTTGTCAGATTCTAATCCAAACATATATATATATGTGTGTGCGTGTGTGATAAAGTAACTGATGTGATATATGAAAACCAGTTTACTGTTAAATTTTTTTTTATTATTTTGCTGTCAATATTTAATTCAATGAGAACATTAAAACAACAGAAAAAACTAAGGAAAAATCATTACCATGACAATCTTGCTACTTAGAAACACTGTGGTTAATTTGAAAAATTATTAATTAATAAATTAAAAATAAATATCTATTTGTAAATAATATTTTGTCTATCAATGAGATTTGTACATAGGAAAATGTTAAAATTCATTTTAATAATTTTATATATAAGAAAACAGAAGTAATAAAAATAAGTCATGTATATCTAAAGAAAATAGCGATTACATATATAGTTTAAATTATAATTTATAATATTATTTAGGTGTTAAGGAAAATATATCCTGGCTAAGATAATACTTAAATAAAATAATATTAAAATAGATACTGGTTAAATACCTCAACAAAAATTTAGTATAAACATTTTTATTTTATTTTATTTTTTTTTTAACCAATTCGCCCCAGAGTAAGGCAATAATGCCACTAAGATAGCGGGGGCTATTTGGAGTGAAAGAGAATGAAAAGACTTTAGAAGGAACTGGAAATCTAATTTATTTTCAAAATATTAAAACTTCATAAAAAATATTCTCCACATATAGGAATTTACAAAACTGTGCCATTTGAACATGATGTGTTGATTAGCTGCCTCGGCTTATACACAGACAAAAATTGATGGGTTGGTTTATATTTGGATCAGCTTATACATGAGTATATACAGTCTCTTCTGTCCTTACCCCTTCTACACAAGGATATTGTTTTATACAAGATGAATCTTTATCCTACACGTAAGGCATTGACACCCTACAATTATAATAACAATTTTCTACCTTAACATGCAATGTGAAATTGTCTAGTTGAATGGGGGCTGATAGTCAAAGGTAGGCAACAGTCCAGTCAGTGGGCTCAGTCCACGGTGATTTGTACTCTTTTCTCCAACTCACAGAGACCAGAGTGTAGCAATATCATTTCTTTCATCTCCTAAGGAGATGAATAGATTCTTTTTCCTTTTAAGACAATTTAATGTCCATGGTTTTTTCAGGAACCTGCTTTGATGACTTTGATTGCAGATATATCTTGGTGAAAACTCGCACTTATGAAACTCATAAAAAAAATAAAAATGACAAGGTAAGAATTCTATTTTAAAGGACATTCCACATTCCATTCTTTGGTAAACTGTCAGCATGTTTATTAAATTAGCATTTCTTTTAGCTCTATAAAGAGCCAAGAAGTTCTGTACAACTAGCACAAATGAATCCTATTCACTTGTGCTAGTAGCTTCTGCGAATTCAGTTCAACCTTGAACTCAGTATCAAGCATCTGAATAATTTCCTCAAAGGTGAAGAGGAGACTTGAGGTAACAGAGATGTGGTTCTACAGAAGAATGCATAGATGGAACATTTGGGCAACAAGGAAGTTTTAAGGAAAATGGGAAACCAAAAAGATACTTTTGCTTAGAATCAAAGAAAGAGGCCTTGGAGAATTTGATCCTCACAGGACATAGTAAAAGCAAGCAGGGAAGAGGGTGACATTGAGTAACCTACCTAACAAGCTTATGTAAACAGATGGCAGATCAGAGACTGGGATGGATAATAATGGGACAAACATTTCTTAGAGGCACAAAGGATAGGAAGTTGTGAAGAACTATGATTGCATACATCCTGAAGGGATGTGGCACATAAAAGAAGTTTATATGAAAAACCTGCAAGGAGTGCAAGTTCAGAATCACTATACTTGATTTAGTCAAATACACCAACATTTAATTAGGTAGCTAATAAAAAGTTTGTTATTTTTTTTGCCTAATATAATCACGTGTCAACTTTTCAAAAACTTACCTTTTTACTTGGTGGAGTTCCAGGTATGATGTCATCTTCCTCCTCTTCCTCCTCCTTTCTCACATCAGAATTCTGTTTTTCTTCATCATCTGTGTCTATGTTTGGTGCTAGTAAATTTATACATGGCTGGAATGATAAACAAGGAATATCTTGTAAGTTGGGATATTTTTAAACTTTATTTTTTTAATCATTTCACCACAAAATAATATCAAAAAAATATAAAATAGAGAATATTAAAAAAACAATTCAGGAGATAGAAGAGTAAAAGAAAAAGAATCAACAAGATCATAGATAATGATTGACACTGCATTTAAATTTTTTGAAGATTAAAATTGACTGGAAGGAGCTGAAGGAGAGTTCTACCAGTGAGGAGTGCAATAAAAGAAACTCTTAGAATTTCAACTGTAAAATGATGAGACCTTGTTGCCAGTATAGTATTGTGCTTAAATTCATAAAATCTGGGTATCATAGAACAATTACCATGAAAATATTCTGGGTTCATCAGAACAATTACCTTGAAAATATTTATAGAAAAGGCAAAGGGAAGCTACATTATTGTGGTTGTAAAGTGACTGAAGCTGAGATGCAAGATCATGACCAATAACATAGCAAATTCTTCTTTGGATTTTATGAAGAATCTTTAAATATATAGCAGGAGTACCAGACCAGATGAGGTAGCAGTAAGTAAAGCAAGGATGAATGGTAGATGTATAAATATCTAAGATAGATTCTGGTGAGAAAAATTGTCTAGTTTGACATAGGGAACAAAATTTCATAGCAGCTGACCTTGCAGTTGATTCCACTTCATGTCAACAGAAAACGTGAGTCCAAGAAGGTGCAATGAATCAGTTTCCTGAAGGTTAGCATCAGCCATACTGATGAAAAGTAAAAATAGTTCTCTCAGACAATTAAGAGTAGTTCCAGTATCTGTCTATATTTCTGAAATGAGGTATTATGTACACTATTTACATTATTCGGACTATTGTCCTCATCTTTGTTGCCATATTTATTACAATGTTTCGGCTGCTGTATACTCCGGCCTTCTTCAGGTGGTTGGAATTTCAAGCTGAACCCTTTATTTCACTCACTGGTAAAAACATGCAATGATAACAGCAAAAATTGCAATGTGAGCACTGGTAAAAAATGGTTGCTGAGGACATTAGGTTTATAATACCTAGAAATTCATATACTGATGTCCTCAAGGACACATGGCACAGTGGATAAAGGCATTGGTTAGATCCGGTGAAGAGTGTGAGTTCAATACCCGGTTAAGGCAGTGGAGAACTTAGAGAGGGGAATTAACAGGAGATAACTGATAACTGACATCATGGAACATGGAACTAGAACAGTCTACCCCAGTGAGCGAAAATAAAGGGTTCAGTTCGACATTCCAACCACCTGAAGAAGGCCGGAGCGTACAATAGCCAAAACGTTGTAATAAATAGGGCGACAAAGATGAGGACAATAGTCCGAATAATGTAAATAGGTTACTTTCAGTTTGGAGGTGTTAAAATTAATAAGTTATTCCTTTCCCCAGTTAACAACAGAAAGTAGATCATTTTTGAGATCAGCAACCAATTTGACTTCATCAAACCACTTTACTATTAAGACAGGAATAAATGTTTGTGTCCTCAGCATAGATACCAAGTTGAGAACTAAAGCAGATTGGATTGAAAAGTAGTGTTAATAAAAGAGGACAAATAAATTTTGTTCTTTCATCATCAGAAACACAAGTTTCTGATGATTTGTTAAAATATCAAACACAAATTTAACAGGGGATGAAATCCCTAAATAATCTAAAATACAGTTAGTTTTTTAATCTAAAAATATTAATTAAAATATTTATTCTTTCTAAAAGTTTTTTTTTTGGATTCAGCTGCAAAAATAAAGTTGTAGGTGAGCCTAATGAACAGAGTTGCAAAATCAAATATACATTAATTATACTTTACCAAAACTGGATGGAATTTTTTCTTTTTCTTTTAAGCGTTTCACTCCAAGCAAGGCAGGAAGCCACTAGGATGCAAGGGGTTACAGAAAATTTGGAGCAAGATCAGATAGGAGTGATAGAAGAAAGGATGAGAAGAAGGGTAGTGGATAGATCAAGGCAACTGATGTCGATTGACATTACATTTGAATTGCATTTGTCCCCTGACGAAAGGAGGTTGCTGGGGTAGAGTTTGACATCTTTGCAGATGTACACAAATACACAAAAATCACTCCTTTGTGGAGCAATGCTTAGCAAGCTGGTCTTTTTGGCCATTACTCTTGTAGAGAAGTTCGTCCTCACAGAGTGATCTAAATTTCTGCCTTACACTATATTAAGCTAAGTTTGGTAAGTATATTATGTAAGTCCATAGAAATAAGTGTGTATATTTATAAATACAGATATGCAAATATATTAAGTTTATACCCACATGAAAGTGTGTGTATAGCTTCCAACTGCCTGCTACTGTCCAGTAGCAGGCAGTTGGAAGCCATACCTCCTCGGAATAGGAGGTTTGTTTCTCTCTCCCTGCTGAAATGGCAGGCAGCGTTTCCCTAAATTAGAGGATGCATGGGTAACAAAGTTGCTGATAAATTGTGTGGATAAATTGCTGATACCAGCTGAAGAGTGGATGGACAGGTCTGCTTACGAAACTCTGGAGTCAGTATGCTGAAGGTAACATTAATCAGCTAAGTGACAAACTTTTACTCACATTAATCCTATATATCTATATAATAATGTAATGTATATTTAGGCAGCATATCTTCATTCAAGCATGTTTCATTAAATAATATGGACAGATTATGTCTATTTATTTTTATAATAATCATTTTTAGTTCTCTAATTACCTTCTTGAAGTTGAAATTCATCAAGGTAGGCACCATATTTTTTGTTAACGCAAGTACTTTCGACCTTCTCCAATATACTACACCATGAAAATAATAAACAAACCTTCAAATTTTCAAGGCCCTCTATATCAAAAGCAAGCAACCAACACTGAACAAAATTTATTATGATTATAGTAGTAATGTTTTAAAATGTATTTGAGTTGACTCACATTAACACCATTTTGAAATTTACCAATTTGCAATTTTAGCATCAATGGTTATTGCCCTTTGATTAGGAATGCTTGTTTACAAAACATCATAACCACAACAGTTAATTTTAAAATAATTATAGCAGAGTGTGTTCATGCGTGTTTGCAAAATCCCTATCGCAATGATTACAGTTACATTGTTTGTCTTTGCAATTCATACATGAGGATGATCTTAGAGGAAATCGAAAGAGTTTGGGTTAACAAAAAATATGGCACCTTCCTTGATGAATTTCAACTTAGCATCAAGAAGATAATTGGAGAACTAGATAGGATTATTATAAAAATAAATAGACATATATATATTAATTCAACTACTGATCCTACCAAATTATTTTTTTTTATTGTATTTTCCAATTTATGAAGAAGTTGTTCATCAGTGTAGTTTTTTACAGCTTCTGAAAGATGAATGCAGCAGAAGCCCATGTGGGATACCCAAAGAAAACACAGATATCAGTTAAAGGCTTCTAGTACACACAAGTGAATGTCTGTTGATTCATACATCCTGCATATGTGCTTTCTTTATTAGAAAGAAGCCTCTAGTTCTAATGATCAATAATCACTACAACACAAGCAGAAAGAAAATTTTGTATAAACTGTCCAAAGTTTATGTTTTATTGCTTTGATTCAAGTACCTTTGAATGTCTCAATCATTATCTTAAACTGCTTGTTATTTATATGGCAGGCAATATTTTATTCGATACATCCTAGCATTTTGGGGGTAAATTAATCCAAAGTGCCTCGTGTAAAATAGTTATGCAGAGCTAGACTACACAGGTCAGTTAAGTGATACATGATTGGGAAATCATGTTTCTTTTGATTCATGACTGACTAGGCAGAAGATTTTCCTGCAGTAGATTGGCGTTACTTCTTGCGGTAGACTCATTCACACCTTTCTCAAGGGTATTTGCACATAAGCGAATGTAAAGGTAAAGAAATTAAAAAAGTGTAGCAAAAAAAGATTTTTAAAAAATGGTGTGGCCAACAAAATTTTGTCTACCATACTGACAACATCACCCAGTGACTGAGATGGTTGAAAGTACTTAAACAAAAATAAAACATGAACTTTGGACTATTTATTCACAATTTTGATACTGATGTATATATCATATTCAAAAATTAGACAGACTTTGTCAGTTGAATTTAACAAAACTTGTTTGGATGAATTCTTACTACCTAAATATACCTTATTAAGTAAAAAATATTTTCTGCAAGGTAGTGATGTCTTGCATCCAAACACTGGGATCATCATCCTCTCTCCTTATTCCCTTTCTCTCCCTTGGTACAAGTGGTGGCGGAGATGGCTGTGAATCAAAGAAAGTTTGATGAGGCCATTTGTGTTAATTTGATTTTGGTGGACAACTCTGTGTGACGGAGAAGTCCACACACTTGGCCAGAAATGCCTCCCTTGCAGGCAAAAATTATTATTATTAAACCAGATATAACTCTATAGTTAAAAATTACCTGTACAGCTATAACAGGACTATTTGTATCTTCATCAGAATCAGGTGTTTTGTCAAGTCTGTTGTGCATTTTACTTTGGTTGCGGCCATTTGAAACTGTCTTTTGTTGGCGTTTGGAAACTGGTTGTGGTTTTGGTGCTGCAGGACATTGTGAACGGCTAGCACATGCTTCAACAAGACTCATTTCTTCCACTTCTGCCATTGTCATATCATCCCATTCCACAAGGATAGACTCATCTCCATTCAAATTTTTATTACTACAGGATGCCCTGATATTAAAAAATGAGATTACAGTGTATTAAAGTTCAAGTTCTTTCAAATATATCAAATATTAAAGATAAACAAAAAAAAAAATTGCATGTGCTGTGAATACAATTGTTATATTACAAAAAAAGCCTTCATTAGGTGATGACACTGGGGTTAGTCATGATTTGGGAGCTAAAGCATCATTATCATTAAGCAACGGTGCCTGAGCAGTACTTTATAATACCATGAAACTTTGTTGGTTTATGTGTGGTGATAGAGAAATAAATAAATAACAAGACTAACATTTCTCCTTCTCTTAAAAGAGACATATAATAAAACATTGCAAGGCAAACAAAGCCATAGTTCAACCAAACAATTAGAATGTTTTGACAACCAGGATGTAAGAAAAGAAATAAAAAAATAATAACAAGGAGACCAAAATTTATCCATCTCAAAAAATAGCTTGAGCAACCAATCAGAAAACTTTCAAAACCAATGGAAGCCAATGAAAAGTAAGTGGCCTTTTCAAATCGAACCTATAGATGTGTATATAAAGAGATGGAAATTCAACCAGAGAATTCTTATACTGATGGGGTTTAGGAGGTTATCAATTATGGATGAATTATTTATCTTGCAACAACATCCATTCTCACCATATATCGGTATAATTGATTTTGGTGTATATTGGCCTTGGGTAATGATTAAAAGAAAATGCACAGATTGTTGATAAATATAAAACAAATATTTATATGCACAATATAATAATACAGAAGGATAAAGTGAAAGCTGAAGTTTCAATAGTTCAAGTGTAAAAGTCCTGGTGCATAAGAGAGATAGAAAGAGTCAGGGAAGATGTAAATGTATGCATATATGTATGTATCCAAATGTAGTATCTGTTGCTTGGCCACATAGTGAAGAAAGGTATGTTTGTTTTCAATGTAGCAAGGATAGGTTTGCCATGTAATATCACCAGCTAGTTGTGTAAATGTCATATTTTGTCTGTGGGTATGTTATGACTGCAGCATCAGAGAATGGACAAAATTAATTTATCCACTGAATGAATTTCTATCTGTTTATATACACATCTATAGATCTGATTTGAAAAGGTGTCTTATATCTTGGTTGTGAAAGTTTTCTGATTGGTTGGTCAAACTATTTTTAGAGATGGCAAAATTTTGGTCTCATTATTATTTGGTTATTTCTTTTCTTACATGCTGGTTGTGAAAGCTTTTTGATTCTTTGGTTAAACTATAGTTTTTTTACCTGGCAATTTTTATTATTTGTCTAATCTACAGATGGGGAAATTTTGGTCTTGCTTCAAACCAGTTTTGACACATTTAAAGTTTATGTTAAAATTAAGATTTTCATGCTTAGTACTTCTTACCTTGTTTTATTTTGGGAAGTTGATTGTCTCGCAGAAGGTGGCACTTGACTGTTGGAGCAATTATCACCAGCTAAAGTTGCCAATACAAATGTTGCTTCAAGCATCCCTTCACTGCTGATCAGATAAGACATTGGCCTAACACAAATAAAAGATAAATTGTTTCATAATTATTGAATTTTCAAGGATTCAATAGAATTGCTAACACAGTTACTAATAAAAGTTGCTAATGTTACAATTCTGCTTATGTTTACATAAAAATAATAATAAATTCAGAATTACAAAATAAAATTAACAGAATTACAAAAGGAAAATAAGAACAGTTTGATTACTTACTTTCCAGGAGTATCAAAATTAATTTTTACTGGGAGATTCGTAACTTCAACAAATGATAATATAGCCTACAAGAACAAACAAGTGAATCAATATATGGTAATATTAATGATAATATTAATTGTTTTCTTATAATGAAGCAAACAGTGTTACTTTCGGTAGAAATTTATCAACTCTTTCTATTAAAACAACTTTTCAGTAAAATAGGTGTGCAGTAACTATTATTGCTCTTTTCAATATGGATGGGGATTTTCTTCCTAAACTTTTGCTTGAGGTTGTGTGGAATATCAACAACTTGATTATTATTTTCTCTTCTAGTTACATGTGCTACCCATTTTAGTTGTTGAAAGTCTTTAAATGATGTGGTTTCTATTATTTGGTACAGTTCTTTGTGATCCTGTAGCACTAGTCCACAAGGTTTGACGATCCTTGCTAAGACCTACACGCTTTATTGACTTGAAGCTATTTTTAACCATTGATCTGAAAAATCAGTTGTATACAGCTGAAAGTTTAGATATTTCTGAATAAGTTTTTGAAAATTTTGAGATGAAGGGAGAAAAAAAAGACTCACTGTAAGAACCTGCTGATATTTTTTTATGGGCTGTGATTGGACAGTTCAAATGTCAACCGTCCCCTTTGAAGGGGAAGGGAGAACTACTACTGGAGAGTAGCAGGCAGTTGGAAGCTATACCACCTAGGAATAGGAGGTTTGTTACTCTCTCTCTGCTGAAATGGCAGGCAGCGTTTCCCTAAATTAAAGGATGTATGGGTAACAAAGTTGCTGAAGGCAAGTTTCCCTTTAAGTCTTCATAGAATGTTTAAAAAGAAGTCCTCTTGAAGAAGCCCCAGGAAAGAAGAGCTGGACGTTACAAAGTTTACTGTAAAGAAAGAACTGAAAAGTCCCTAAATGTTGTTTGGGGCTAAATGCATTTACAGTGAAGAAGAAGAAGAAGAAGCAAACATGTGCTGTTACAAGAAGTTGTATTACCGCGTGTTTTAAGGAAGTTTTCCCCTTCCTCGTCTGTATAGTAAAAGAAAGATGAACTTTCCATTTGGACAGGAAGAAAACAAGAAGAAAAAAAAAGGGGAGTTTGGTCACCAAAGAAAGAAAAGAAAAATATATAAAGAAAAGAACTTTTGAATTTTGAAAGGACAGAAACTGTAGAGCAAAGGCTCTTTTTTGTTATCATTTACACAGCAGGTGAGCTCAATCTTTTTATTATTTTGTTTTGTACATTGTAATTTTTAAAGTTTTATTATTCTGGTATTTTTTTTTATATTTTGTTAGTCAGAGAAAAGATTATCCTATTCTCAGCAAAAAGGGTCAAATTTTTGCATGCACCCATGTTTAGCTAGTTCGTAATAAAGATTTTTCCTTGTATAATTGAATTGGATTTGCATTCTTTTTTTTTTGTTATTGCTTTGGGCAGTAGTGGAAATAGTATTGCATCAGGTTTTATTTTCTGAAAGAAAAGAAAATTTCTGAATAAGTTTGGTGTCATGTTTGACATCCATATAAAAGTCTCAGTCTGATTAAATTATTGTTTGACTCAATTTTTTAGGTTAATGTTTTGATTTTCTAGCAATTTGCTGTGTTGTGTTTGTACTTCTGTATTTACCAGTAAGATGAGTAATATTTTTATACACCTAAAATTTACTAATCCTACTCTTGAAAATTAAACTACTACTTAAGGAGTCATTAATTGCTACCTACTTATGAAAAGTAAGCAGAATGCTTTCTATGCTCAATTAAAAACTTATGGACAGTGATGTCACAAGTTATCTTACTATTCCTAAATCTATTAATGATTCTGTTGGCATAGACCAACATTCAATAACCATAAAGTCAAACTTTTAATAAGGCTTAACTATACTTTCTAAAACCAGTATTTAGCCATATACAAATTCATGTAAAATTTTTAACAATCAGGTAATTGAAAAATATAAGTAACATAGTTTCACAGTTTTTTTTAAAGCAGGTTTTTGGAACATTTCCCAAGTGATGTTTGCTGTGTCTAATCTGAAAGTAGACATTCTCAGGATTTCAGAACTGGTCTAATTTGGTTCTAATTCCAAGTATCTGTCAAGTTATGATCATTTGAAGATAATCAAAACTTACACATGTTTAATCATTTACATTTTGATGATCAGTTTTGGATGGTTGCTTTTTTCTTCCTCTTTTTATTAGGAAAGTCATTGGAATTTTGTTGAAATGAATAAGTAACCAGCTTTAACTTGACACACTTTCTCAAAAATGACCTATTTCAGATTCAGTCAAATTAACAAAATTTTTTTGCCTAATTTTTGTCTCTCACCTGCAATTTCAAATAACATTAAAAAAATAAATAAATAAAAAATAAGACAAAAATTATTTTCATTTTTCCCAAATATTAAAACAATTAAAATTTGCAAAATATAAGAAATTGTTCTTCAGAGGATTTTTAAAATGTACTTAGTTCCTTTCATACTTGGCTTATGGCCACATCACATTGAAACACTGGTTTCTATATGGTCACCAAAGTTAAGCAACATCGAACCTGGTTAATACCTCAATGGGTGACAGCTTAGGAATACCAGGTGCTGTAAGCTTATATGTGCAGGTGATGTAATGAATAATGGCTTGGAATTGTTAATTG